GTTGTTGTTGTCGTCGTTGTCGTGGTGGTGTTGCTGCTGTTTTTCTTCGTAGCTCCTTGATTTGGTCGCCCAGTTGCCGCGCCAGATGTCACTTTTACCCCGCTTGTCCGAGGCGCTTGGCAGCCACGCTCGTGCCTGGGTTTGCAGTGGCGATGACTTGGTAGACCCTGGGCTTTGCATTGACTCTCGAGTTGATCTTTTTCGTCCCAACAACAGACAGAACACGGCAGACAATCAAAAACGATCTTACTCTCGTAATACCCATGGCTACAAGAGCCACATTGCGTGTTCTTGGTGACAGAGCAGTTTCGTGCGACTGTTCGCCCAACTGAGCATACGGAACACGGCTTGCACTGTCTTTTGCCGTACGTATCGGAAAAGGTTCCCTCTCTACATGCCACACAGTGTAAATGTGTTCCATATTTGGCGACCGTTCCGCAAGGAATCGAGGGTTCCATTCCATCTGGACAGTCGATACAAGCCAAGCACGTGTCATTCTGTGTTCCATTATTGCTTCGCCAGGTGACTTCGTCATCTTTGCATCCAGAGCAGCAGCTGGTTTGAGCTTGGAGCTATGAAACAATGAAAAGTTTCTGAATCAAAAAGTTAACGTGATCGCGATACTATGGCTTTTTTGTGTGTTTTTTTCATTTATCTATCAAGTAATTTTTTCAACCAATAAAGAAAATGAGACAAAATAAATCAGTGGCAAAGGCCGACGTCCCACAAAATCATAAACAAACGAATTCTTCTTGACTCTTCACAGGTAGACAAAATACGAAATGATATAAAAAAAAACAATTCACATTTCTGCGGTTTTATAATGATCAGTTGCAATTGGGCAAATTAAACTGAACAGGAAATTGGTGGAACGCATGCTTACAAGTGTGGCTGGAGTTGAATTAGCAAAATACTGGACCTGTGGCCTTGTCACGATAAGCGAGGCTGTCTTTCAATTGTGTTGTTCGCATGACACAATAGATATCTTATCGCTCAATGGAACGTGTTAACTTTATGAGGTTATGCGACCCTAATAAAACATAATACGTATACTGCAATAACAACCATTCGTCAATAGCTATGACCGAAAAAGCTCGGCGAAATGACATTAAAAGTCCTTAAACTACGCAAACTTACCAGGGCTGCCATAAAAACTGTTCTCGTTACGATTCTGAAGCAACACATCGGGGACTCAGTCTTCCTCACGATTTGTTCTGGTAAGTTCACTTTGAATATTCTGCTCCGAAGTAAAACGGCTACTGCAAAGGTAATCAGACGTTTCAGCTTAAAACACGACCAGATAATAACAATTAATATCGTATACACTACTAATCGTAATCTAATCGAAGCGACGCCTATACAAATGTAAGCGATTTAAAATCACGATTAATTTGACACTTAATTTACCCTTCCGTTTGATGGAGATGAATAAGTCATGACTTTACTATGATAATGAACTATACTCACCAAATAAGTCGATTTTACTTGTCTCAGTGAGAATATTACGAACCTCAGTTTAAATAGTGATGACGATGGAAATTCTTGGTTGACGTCCTGGGGGAATTCCCTAGACAATCTCGTCATCATGACGGCATCTTTCTGTGAGCGTGGGTAGAGACGTTGCACAACGTTAAACGCAATCAAACAGTCAGCAGATTTTGAAATCGCAGCCATACGACGGGGAATAAAGGAACGAATAGCACGAAAAAAGTTGACAGATTTTTTCTGACATACAACTACCTTGTTACTGTCCCATGATTCCCTTACCGCCGCCCGCCTCCGTCCTAACCATTACCCAGACCCCACGTAACCTATCAACTTGAATGCTTCGTTCCACTGGTATACAGGCGCCAGTTACGTATCAGACAAGCAGGGAAGAAGAACAAGTATACAATCAAACAAATAATTGTACATTTTTCCATATGTCACGATCCTCTGTAGTATGGCTGAATCGTTGACCTTGATTGAGTACACACTAAATGAACTTGTCTTCCAGCGAATAAAGGTAGTAGAGGCATTGCAATAACAATATAAGCACAAGGAAAAAATTGTTGAAGCACGGCATCATGAAGGTGTCGTATGAGTATTAAAACATCGCACACGCTCAATCACTAACGCAATAAGGCAGAAATCTAAGAAACAGAATACAAGTAAAAGAAATCAATAGTGCCGTTTTTGAAGACAGTAAGTCGAAATGCGCCGTATAATGAAAGACAAGAGCAGCCACTCAGTAGCTTTTTATAACCGTTCATCTTAATCTGACAATCAAATTCTAAACTAGTAATTTCTCTCAAAAAGTGAGTTTTCGTTGAATGACGATAAAATGGTGAATGGGTCTGCAATGCAGCAAACATCGCTAAATGGCTGATAATAATCAGAACCGTCAGGAAAGTCAAATTTTTTGTTGGTGCCCTACATGCAGGAATTTTATTTTATTGTATGGCTCACAGCTAAAACGAACAACAGCAACAGCAAAATCAATTCCCCTTGTCCTTGCACCCATTTTTTTAACACGTCTCACTCCTGCTACAGACATTTTGTATCAATTTTAGTTACTTTTCTTTACCTTATGCATCCGTTTGTTTGTTTTGCAATGTCCAAGATAGCCAACGTCAACGTTAAACGTCATCGTCTCTACAAGTACATGCATTGCGTGGCGTTTATTTTAATAGATGCGGTTTAAAACTGAAAGCAGCTTTACTATGCCTGACTAAGTCTTGTGTAAAGAACAAAAATTACACCTTTGACTTTGAAAAAAATCATCTCATGGTAGAAATTTTCCATCTCGAATAAAAGAACATGGATGACTTTTACCCTACGAGACTAAAAGAGAGGAAATTTATGCCTCTCAGAATCCTTACTTTTGGTAACCTTTAGTTTGCTTTGTGGGGATCAGTATTCAATGATCTCTTTACACCATCCACCACTTCTTGCAGAATATTTGTTCGATCCACTGTTTCATTACATAACCACTTGGCTTGAAAGCTTAGTACAAATCTAATTAACTTGAAAGGGCCATTTTCTCTTTCACCAACTTTAGTCTGGGAGACTTTCGGTCTCTTAGATTACCCCCTTTCTTGTTTTTTAAAGTAACACTCTTTGCATCACATACTCTGGAAACCAGACGTACTTCAAAACCACATAAAAAGACGCAATCTTTCACCTTTACTTTCTGAATGTAGAGAGAAACCTCCAACCTTGCGAAACGACGTACTTCCATTTTAAACTGCCCTTCGTCATTCAGAAGAAACACTTAATTAAGTAACAGAACTTACCTGTAACACAAATCAAAACGAATAATTCATTGTATGCCTTTCTGATGGTAAATTACAGGGACACGACTATAGTAAAATATGAACTGAAAAAAACAAGCTTATGAAAACGAGGCCAACCAGACTGAAGGGGCGTTATCCATACAGGTCTCTCCTCGTTTGCCTTCGATGTTTCATGCGATCTGACAATGGTGTGAGGGTAAGGTTTGCAGTGATGATTTTTTTGTCATGTTTATGCCGGCAGGAGAAAGACAAATAAAGGATTATAGGATTTGAGAGAACAAGGGAAAAATGAACATTTTAAATGAGAATCTGGAATGAATAATTGATATATGAAATTGATCACTTGCAACCTAGAGGGTTAACGTGCTGAGGGCATGGTGAAGGTAAAAGTCTACATACCAGCCAAGTGGCCCATCAGGTCGGAGCTTATCCCGGTTTCTGTAGCGTGAAGCGACTAGGAGTATTTCTACTCCCCCTGGATGGGATACTAGTCCATCCCAGGGTTGTGCCCCCGCATTAAGGTCGCCGGTATACCCATTTATACACGTGGGTGGAGAGAGGCACTGTGAGAGAAAAGTGTCTTGCCCAAGACCACAACATACTAAAATGTCCCCGGCAACCACTCGAACCCGGGACTGCTCGACTCGAGCGGAGGGGAGCGCACTGACCATGAGGCCACCGTACCATCATGTTGATGGTATCCGTTATTAATCTATTCATTTAAAATCTCCCGTTAACTTTCGCATCCCCTTAGTACTTCAATATATCGTCAAAGAACCTTGTTCGAATTCGAAGGATAAATAGAAAACACGTCACGAGATTCCCTTTTAAGCTGGCATTCTCCTCCTATGGTAAACCAACCAATTATTTGCTGACATTCTATTTATCGTTTTTGCAATACTGATTTACGATACAACCTTCAAAACTGTCACACTCTATTCAACCTAAACGTAGTAAAGTGTATCATGACATTGAACAAAATTTCTACCTACCATATTTCTATAATTATAACAAAAAAATACTAAGAATTATAACGTTAACTCTAAATAAAAGTACAAAATTTAGAACTAACTACAAAATAGCTAATGAATAGATCGCTTATATATTATTTAAGTAAATTGCTTTTGATAAATCCTCCGGAGTTCTCCGAAGTAATCACATAAGCAAAATGACTAAATTGTGTTTATTACAAAATGCCTTTCCAAACTTTTACAAACAAAAGTGCATAACTGTCATTAGCTTCTAATTTTTCTGTTATTGTAAATAAGAAGATAAGTTTCAAAAAGAAAGAATCGGTTTATAGTGCCTTCACACTCTGGAAAAATGTTAGCTATATGATATGGACAATTTACAGTGGCGGATCTAGGGGAGGGAGCCCCCCTTATTTTGGGTGAAAAAAGAAATGACTGAAGGACGAAAAGCCGGCAGGGCAAGTAAAACAACTCCCTCCCCTTAGCTCAAAGTCTGGATCCGCCACTGATTTGTAATAATCTATAACACTAATTTAAAAAAATGTCCTAACAGCTCAAAACGACAAAGCTTACTTCTCAAAAGTATTTCTCGTTCACGCTAACTTTTACCTGTGCAGCCTAAGATTGATCGGCTTGAGCACTACACGATACAAAACACTTTGATCAGCGTACGCTTTTAATTACATATTTGTTTTAGAGTGGCTTCCTTTCACACTTAAAAAAAAAACAAATTGAACAAAAATAGCTCTATAAAAAATAAAAGAAATCAATGAAAGGATTACAAAAGAAATTTTTTAAAAAACGAAAAAACTAACAGTCTCGGCAGAGCTATTTTACGAATGATATCATAACATGCCAACATATTGAAATACAAAAAAATTACAAACGGAACAAAAATAACTCTACAAAAAAATAAAATCAATAAAAGGATTACAAAAGAAATGCTTTTAAAAGCGAAAAAATAACAGTCTCAGTAGGGCTATTTTACGAATGATATAACCACAGCGAACCTTTTCTGTCAGATACCCTCAAGATTCTGCCGACTTGAAGATAGAATGTACATGGCTAAACTGAGGAATTTAGGAAGGTCATCCTCTAGACAGTGCAGTCTAGAGTTTCTCCTCTTTGTGACACTGGACCTGCATTCAGGAATTTCTTTCCCTCTACATTTAGCGTTAACTAATCCGTTCAGATCATATCTCCTTCTGTACTGAAAACCTCATCTTGGACTTATAGCCATACTACTTGGTGGTATTTGCACCTTTACATTTTCTATACAAGCACTTTTACTTTAATACTTTCAAAGTTGAAAAAGCATCTAAAATGACTCTACAAATACATTTTATACAAGGAGATTTATGTTCTATTTTAAGTCGTATTCTTCAAGCAGTTTAACGACGTCGTTCCTGTTAGCTTCTTTTCTCACCACAGAGGCAAACTCTGCCACTGTTAGTTCTGGTTTCTTAGCTTGAAGGGATTCTATTAAGGCCCTGGATGGTCCTCCGCGTTGCTTTTCGAAGACCGAGACTATCTGGTAATAATTGGAGCCATAGTACAGGGCAACTGCTCGGTAGTGACCAACCCCTGCCATGGGTGCATCCAAACAGTCGCAGATCTTTTGCAGGTCAGAATCCCTCTCCAATAAGCTACTCAGTGGTTTAGAATCTATCAATAACAACAACCAAACACGTTTGACAAGGTTAATAAAAGTACTATCTTGGCCAAACAAATCTCATTAAGTTCCGTGAAAACAATGGCGTCCGCGAATTACACAGTGCAGCTAACTGTGCTTAATGTCTCTAGGTAAGTTTTACAATAGTTAACCTAACTATAAATATTTATGGATTGTATTTCAGTTCACCAGATAACTATACTTGGTTGGAATCCTGATGTGAAACTAATCCTTCAAATGCCTTTCACTCACTTATCAATTATGTAAAATATGTGCTCGAACAAAACAAAAACACTTTGCTGTACCTTTCTTTATGGCCATTTCACTAGAGCGTGTCAGCATACCAGAATCACCCTATTTAATGAAAGATTTCAAAATTTATAAATAAATACACTGTATAATTACTCACTTTTGACGTATCGAAAGTAGTGCTATATTTTGCAACTTGTATCAAACACATTTACAGGAGCTAAATGTCACCACATAATTATTTTGCATTTTGTTTTAGCTGTAGTGATAACAATATATTACTTCCAAGTTAGCCATAGTCGGATAAAAAGAACCTCAAAATAATTTTTGACAAAGGAAGGAGAACAGCAATGAAGAAATTCTCAGAAATACCAGTTACAGTTTAACTTACAGTAGGAGATATTAAGAGTGATTATTAATGACAAGCTTGGAAAATTTAGGCAACTATTTTTCAAAATGAGCAACACCCCTTTACATGGGCAGAGGGTGGTGAATATATAACTAAGAAAAACTATCATGGTAACATTACTCATTAAAATGAATGTGAAGTACTTAAGGAGGATACTAATGTACTAACAATATTGTTAATATTCAGGAATTCATATATAATTTATTACTAGTTACTTAATCATCATCTAGAACACAATACTTGATATAATTACACAGTTATCGTCTTTGAAAGTAAACTTCCACAACTTCAGTAGAAAGCTTACTGAACCACGCTGTGTTAATATTACAGTACATGGTTATGTTAATATACATGGTTTCACATAAGGAACAATGTATTAAGATTTATTGAAGCTTGACAAAGCAACCTGAGGAGGCAAGATGGGGCTACATATCTTGCTCGCAAATAAACTACAGAGTGCTCATCAAAAATGCCTGTTCCTCTCCAACAGTGATGAACTTCTGAGGCCTACGTTCGATAGCCCTTAACCTGGTCCTTCATTATTGATGGCAAAGGCATGACAATTACAACTCCAAATGTTCTTTATACACCCGAAGAAACCACTTGAAGATTACACGTAGGTTAAATTCCAATGCAATTAGGTCGTAATGCTTCCTTAAAGATACAGCATTACAAAAAAGATTGAGAAACATTTTTTTGATCAACAGCATTAATACCACAACAATTAAAAAATGTTTATTTATTTCATACTCGGAACAACAACTAATTTCTATAAGTACCTCGTTCAACAATGGTTCTGATGATTCTGGTGAAATCATTTCAAGCCTGTGACATCTGCCAATTTTTGACAATGTTTCTTCAGCCCCATCTGTTGGAAAAAGCGAGTGCAGGCAATATTGTAGGGTGTTCATTTACATAGATGACTGCATAATAATAATGATAATAACATTTGGTCAGGTGCATAGACAGGGAGAAATAATTTAGAGTTTGAACAGCATGACTGTTATTAAAGCTACAGTTAACAAACGGTTTTCAATGAAAGGCTCTGGAAAGCTTGCAAACCAACTTAGAACAAGCTCCTCTCCTCAGACATCAACAACTTAACCACAACCTTACAACTGGCTTATTCTAAACATAAACAAAGTTGATGAATGGACCACAAACAGAACAACTTAATTTAAAACTACCAACAAGTAATCACTCACTGTTGGCAATTTAGCTTTACATGAATCATGAAAACTAATAACATTATTGCTAAACTGACCAAACAGCTAGTGTCAAGATTTACAGGCCGGACAAAAAACACCATTTGACTGACAAACAATAAACTGTTTGCTAGGCAGTGAAGATGACTTCTGCTGATGATTGAAAAGAAGAGTGACCAAAGCAATTCCTTTAAGAACCTGAAAACCAGGACTAGATCACCCTATACAAACTACTGATCATTGCTCCGGAGTTCAAAACATTAATTAAATTGAAGGGGTACATGCTAATTGAAATAAGGCTTTAAGTGACTTTTGGAAAATTTTGAGGTTAAGCCAGGATTGAAATACCTGACAGCAATTTTAACAATTTCCTGACTGGTTTTAATTATTGTCTAAAAAGAACAAGTTATTATTATTTGTTCTGCTAAGACAATAATGATCAATTAAAAGACAAGAGGCTCTAAGTAGCCTATACCTATGCACAGGTTACAAATTGTATGAAATAGATATGCAATGCGTACATAGTCAGACATGCAATTTGAAAACCTTTGCCATCCAACAACTATAATACGGGAGAAAAGCTAATTCGAAAAAAGTGCATCATAGATCTAAGATATAGATATTGAAGATGCAGGAGAGAAGATAAGGGGTGTAACACAATATGTCATCTTTATTACAAGGATATCATCAGGCAAATAACACAAAGCGAGCCAAGTCGAAAAATCATAAACAGAGAATTAACAAAGGATCAGAATTGCAAATTGGATGAAATATCTTTTTTCATAGCTATTCTGGACTAAATCTCTTCAGGCATTTTCTGTTCAAGTGTTAGACTTGTTTATGTTGGTTGTTAGGACACATTACAGTATTCAGGGCCATTGAATCAAACATCAACTTTGCCTTATCTCTATTATATTTGTAATTTGATTTTAATGTATTCTTGAAACTTGATAAAATAACAGTACTCATCAGTAGGCACCTGGGCTGAGTTGTTCAAAGCCCGATTAAGCTAACCTAGAATTAGTGAGAATTTTGATTTCAGTGTAGTATTTTTTCGGTGAGCTTTTCTGTTTATATTGTTTGTCCTTCAGTTTTGAGTTTGAATCATTTCAAAGTACCCAAAGCATAAGAATTGAAAAACATTGTTATACATGAAAAATTCTTACTTCGATTAACTCTTAATCCTGGGTCAGCGTTAACCGGCCTAAACCCAGCCCTGGTGTTTTTTTTGTATGTTGTTTCATGAAATGCCATATTTTGAAAAATATTATCACAATTATATCCTTGCATATGTTGCCAAAAACTTAATAGGTTTCAATTGATGCAAAATACAAGGTGTACAAGACAAACCAAAAGCAGAAAAAGAAAATGGAAAAAAACAAAACAAAACAACCTAAACACACAAGCGGATTCTATTCAGGCAAAAGTGTTTAATTAATGGACATTGTTCCTGACATTATTCTTGACTCCTTTTAAAACATGTAAGCTAGTATATATCTGAACTGAACGACTTTAATCTCCATTTGATAATGGCGAAAAGATAACACTGAATCGTTATGTTATAGCATTTGTTTTTCTTTGAAAATTTTTTCCTTGTAACTGAGTCTCTTTTGGGAATTGAGGGACAAAAGAAAATTGAAAAATTTGCAATTTTGTCCTTAAAGCCTCAGAGCCATGCTACTGAATATTAATATATCAATCGTGACCTATTACCTGCCTGTTTTGTTGAGCACGTCCATTTACACGAACAGGAAGCATTATGCATTTGACCAAAAGATAAAGTATACAGAGCATGTACATAGTACATGATTCTTCGCAATATGTCCTTGAATCTCCAAAACCCTAATAAATAAGAGACTTGTCATATTGTCACATGGCGATTGACATGACAACCTCTCCAGACCACTTTCTTGTTGATAGGTACTTCCACACCGTATCAAATTGGGGAAAAAGCACAATGTTTGCAAAAAATGGCACCTTCTCAAAGAATCCGATATGACAGATGTTGTATAGTGGACTGAGCTCCAAAGAGTGTGGTAAATGTATGCATGCACAAATGTGACACCAAAACAGAGAAAACAAGGGCATTTTACAACTCATACGCCTTACCGAGCATGAGTAATACGGAAGCAGATGTTTGGGAAACAGGAAGTGATAAGTCATGATTGCATTGTTCACCTCAGAACAACATGGGGGACTGGGAAAATAACTCTAGCTAGATGCTGACCAAGATTTTGTTCAGGGCTTTCTACATGCATGTGCCATTACTAATTTCCAAACCCAAGTAGAACTAGTGAGGACACAGTATAGCAGTTCTCAATTTTTGACAAATTAAATGCAAGGTTTCAGATTCCATGACAAGCCTCTATGTTGGGCAGCCAAACCTGCACACCTTGCATAACTTGCTTTTTGCACCTCTATTCACTAATCCTCTACCATATTGGCCTCTTCTTTCAGCCAACTTCTGGTCACCTCAACTATTGTTATATATAGCTTGAGTTTAGTTGAATGTATCATTCCATCATGTGCTGTTACTAATTAATTTATGGTCACGTGGCAATGGCTTAATCTAAATGTTGCCCTGGTGGGAAACAGTTACACAATAGTTGTCTGCTCTCCTACTTACCACTGAGAGGTTACTTTGACTTCTAATTGCCTTATTACCCCACACTAAACTCAAGTTACATAACAAAACATATTGCTGGTCCCTTGGAAAACAGGCAACACTGAGATTCTCAGGAAACCAAAACTGTTTCTCTCAGGAACAGTAACTAAGTGTATAACATGGCAAAAAATGAGTAAATAAATATGGTCAGATCTTAAGACACATACCTATAGGTGCATAAAACAATCAAGGCTGTCAATTCTTACCTGCATCAAGTGCACCTGAGCCCCTTTCAACATCACTGCGACACCAAAAGCAACCATTTGGGTTCCCTGTCTTGTAAATGTAAACACAGCCGCAAATCGCCATCAGGGCCAGTATTACAACTGGAATAATGGCGGCTGTCCAGAAATCCTGAACTTTTCTTTGAGATAGGTCATTACTTTCAGTAGGAGCTTCACTTTGTTCACTTTTGAAAGCTTGGCTTGGACTGGTGTAGTTATCAGGAGTAGCTGTTATCTTCTTTGCATTTGTTGTGACGTTATGTAGAGATCTCAAATTGATTGCCTTTCCACAGCGGTTTACGCTGGTGTCAAAAGAGCAGATCATGTTAGAGCGAGGCCCCAGTTTTTCTTGACATTCAACTTCCACCAAATCTTGATCATCCCCACAGCATTTCGAACAAGGTAAACAGTCTCCCTTGGCATGATTGTAATACCTGCCCAAAGGAAGTGAAAATATTAAACAAGGAAAGAAAAAAAGAAAACTTCCTGTTAGGACGTTCCTCGGTTCCTTAAAAATTTGATTGCACAACATGAACTGATGAAGCACAAATTGACATTTCACAACACTTCATGGCATAAGCAGTACCGTTCCCTTGTTGTAGAGTACCTTAAATCAAGTGATCATACGGTAACTTTCATCTGACTAATTTGACTGGAAAAATGAATATACTATTTTACCTGGATCTCACTATTCCGGGAGCAGCAGATTGGGCTGGTCTCGCTTCTCTCAGAGGGTCCACTACTTTTGGGGGGTCGTTACTTTTGGGAATTATTGGGGGCCACAATTTTTGGACGTTACGTTTGGGGGTTGCTACTTTCAGGGGGTCGTTACTTTTGGAAATTTATGGTAAAATAGCAAGACATGATTAAATTATTAGCCAGCAGATGTTCAAAATTTTTAACACCTGCCATCTGTGTGTGTAGGGGTTATTCAAAAGTAATGTGCAGTTTAATTCTAAATGGTAAATACAAAAGTGCATTAATGTAACACATGCATTTGTACCTGTCCATACTGGAACATCGTTCTGCACATTTGATGTCCCACTCTGGTGTACAGTTCCTTAGCACCACCTGATCCACTGCACAAGATGAACAACGAGCACACATGGAGGTGTCATCTTTGCTGGAAAATGAGAATTTAGGTTGGCACGGTTGACATGTCACAAATGCACTGGATTTTATAAGTTGTCCACATTGTTCAGAAAGGCCTTGTCCTGGTAGGCAAGATGGACAGTCTTCACACAAGGTTGAACCATCTAAATATTCAATCCAATACTGAGTTTCACTACAAGGATTTGTACGCTGCAAAAAAATTAGAAAGAACATACATGTACTCTAAGTTAATATAATAATAGTATCCAAGGATGGAAATTTAACACAGACCCATTAGTTTAGTGGATCTCAATTTTTTTTTGGTGATTACAACTTGTACAGTATCTAATTATTTATCTTCATTTCTTTAGATGCCCCCATCTGGATGAAGAGTCAAAATGAACTTCCATTGCTATGTACCATTGATCCTAACATGAGCAACTACAGGTGCAACTACCCTTAATGTCAAGCACTGCTGATAATAGCCAGTTGTTTGTTTCTCACATTGGTCTTTGAATCTACTTGGTGGCAGTGATCACCTTCATGAAAAGCTTCTGCACCAGTGATGGTGAAAATGATGTCATGATTCCCACTACAACCTGAGATCAATAAAACGAAGAGCAAACCAGCAAAAAAAAACTTCAGGGCAATGATTCTCAGGTAAAACAAAACCTGCATGCCAAAATTCAACTATTTTTCAGCACTTCAAAAATGGCCAAAAAATAAAGGGGATGTTCTTACCAGCGGCCTTTCAATATTACTTTCTAGTTCTCATTAATCTCTTTTCATTTGTATAAAATTTTGTTGATCAAAAGTTGGCTTTGTTTGTGAGTGTGTTGGCAACCACAATTGCAGTAAAATTATGATGTCAACTTCATACACCTGCATCAAAAAAATTGTAAGAGCACTCTCCTGCAAGGGAAATTGAACCACATTTTGAAAGGGGTGTGATCATAAATGACGGTAATTTGACAAGTTACTACTTTATCTATATAGTTTCAAAATGTGTTAAAGAAATTGCTGTATGCTTTCTTAGTACATATAATCTTCTTCAGATGTTACTACACAGTAATCAATAAAGAATAGTAGTGATGTGTAACTGAAAATGGCCCATTAATACCTGAGTGTTTGGAGTGTTGAATGTCACAGTTTCTTATCAAAATGACTTTTCACAAAGGGACTAAGGGGTGTATATAATTTACAAAAAAATCTACTCCTCAAGGGTTTGGGGAGGGGTAGAATGTCAATTCTGGGGAGGTCTGGATCTTATGTGAAATGGACATTTTCTATGTAGGCACAAAAAAATTGCACCGGTAAATAGTCTGGAATACATGATTGCCCTATTCAGTTTAGTTTAGAATTGTTCAAAATCTTGTTTACTAAACAACAAAACCTATCCTATTTATACACATACCTCTGCATCAGCTATGGCAAAACAGAAGACCAAAATAAATGCAGCTATGTAGCCAAATATCTGAAAAACAAAACAAGGCCATTATAGTAATCTGCAGCTTACAGGGTTGGTGATAAATGTCAACAAGCATATATTCATTGATGGGAAAGGTTCTGTATTCATCATAATATAGCTGATTGTTTACATTTGTTTTCTAATGACGTCACATTTTTTTTGGACTTGGAATTGGGATGACGCCATAAAACGTTTTCGTTTAATTCATGGAAGGAACATGCGTAAAAGAAGTGTTCTAGAAAATTATGTTTCCTCACAATATCGGTAGAAGTAAGGTTATGCGTCGCATTGACAACAAACTCGACCGAAAGTCAAAATAAAACGTAAACTCATCAAGTGCGAACAAAAATCGTCGACTAGCAAGTGCGTACGTACCTTTAAATATCTGCTTAACAAAAGTTTATTAGTTTAAATATAAGCTTAATATTCTTAACGTTACCCCTAGATATACTTCACTTACACATACGTATACGTGTTACTTATTTCGAGTTGAAATCGCATCCATACCCCAAAATTGGACATTATCCCCTACAATAAAACCATAGGCATACTACAGTAGCTACCTTTACACGGTTGTGATTACTAAGCACATTTTTGCATCATGAACGTCCATAAACGCAGACTAGAGCACCTTTTGACGAAAATTCGCCAGCTAAATCATTGAAAGAGGATAAAAAGGAGTTCTACCTACGAATGACAAAAGAACAGGATGATTTTACGGTTTACAAGTTTTTAACTCTTACCATCTTCACTGGCTGCGTCATCACCGTGATCACTACTTCACAAATTCGTCGATAAAACGAACGATAGTTAAAAATAAGTCGTCAACAGAAATA